GTCCTCGCCCCGGCCCCCCAGGGAGCGGGTGCTGTGCCTTCCTGGGTGACTGCGGCTCGAAGCCCCGACGCGTTCAGCGCGGGGCCGAGGTGGGAGCTCCCAGCTGATCCTTCAGCCTCCGGAGGGGGGCCCCACGGCTGGACCCTCCTGGCTGGGAAGCCTCCCTCATCCCAGCCTCCCCCAGCGATGCTGAGGGGAAAACCGTGGGCTGGACGCAAGTCAAGGGCCACGAGGAATCACACAAGAAACCATTTTTTGCAGTCAGACCAAAACACATGCGTGCCTTGCCCCACACTTGGACGAGCAATGCTTTGGGATTCCTTCCAATCCTTTTCAAAAGAAAGAAAGGGTTTTTTATGAAACAACAAGAAAATACCGTTTCAACCAAAAAAGAGCTTTACTTGATAAAGTGTTTTAGTGAGAATGTTTCCACTGAACCAAGCAGATGAGCAAAACCCCATCGGGACTCAGGGAGATTTGGCTGCTCAGGAAAGCAAACACCACCGGCTCTTATCAAGGCTCCTGCCCACGCAGTCATATGATGTGTGTGCCCATACCTGCACGGCGGGCAGCCTTCGCGGGGGTGTGTCACCGTCCTCAGAGCAGGAGAGGGGGACAAGAGGCTGCTTGGCCTCTCCCTGGCAAGCAGGGACAACCTCAGTGGGGCTGAGGCTGCAGGAGACGTCCACCCCTCCGACAGGGACAAATATCTTCAGCTTGATCAGGAGGAGTGGAGTAACATCTGTCAAGAGTTGGTGCAGCGAGACAAGCGGAGCCCAAGCCCAGGCCAGGAGGGAGTGAGTAGTGCAGGGCACTTGAGTGGTGTGGCGAGCCGGGGGCTGTTATTCGGGTCTCTGGGAGGTGTTGCTGTGTGAGCAGAGGGAGCAGCTGAAGCTGCTTCCCCTGTACAGGGTCCTACAGAGTCTGATGGGTCACAGGCTGACGTTCAACCTTTCCTTGATCCACCAAGCTCCTGTAGCAATGGATGATAAAAGTCAAGCTCAGGACAGCCTCCCCTGTCCCTGGGGAAATGACCAAGTCTCTGACTTCAGGTTTATTTTCTTTGACTTCAGGTCATGCCTTTGACTTGCCCAGGATCTTGGCGGTTATTTCCTGCAGTGCTGGGAACAGCAGGGAATGGCACACACCTTATAGCTCAAGAGGCTGGCCACGTGCAGCCCCAGGGCCAGTGGGAGAGGCAGGGATTTGGGCTCATGTCTCTCGGGGGTGCTGGCCCCGAGTGTGGAGTGCTGTGGGGACCAGAGACCGCAGTGTGTTCCAAGGGGGTGAGCCGCAGTCACAGCCCTGCACACTGTGCCTCAGCTTCCCAGCCCTCGTATTGGTGAAATCCAGCCTCATGGCTGTTTGCTGTGTGGTGGTTGTCCCTTTCTCCTCGATAAATGCACTCGTTATGATTTCCTTCTGCTTCTGGCTAGGTGCATCACTTGAGCTAATTCCAATCCTTCTGAGGATGTCTGTGACCGAGACAATGAGCTCAAAGAGATCTGTAAGAGTTGGTACAGGCCAGGGTCAATACTGGATTTTTTCACGAGGAAGTTCCCCTTGGCTTTGTCTCCAGCCCTGACCCGTGGGCAGGTCTGCCCTGAGGCGGGCTGCAGTCTGATGCACCTGCCAGGCAAAGGCCCCAGATGGGAACATTTTGGTGGTGACTTCTGACACCTTAGGCAGACCCAGCAGGCATGGCCAGGCATGGTCTCATGTATCCAGAGCCCAAACCCGTCGCGGGTTAGAACAAGCATCTCAGACTTTGTGTGGAGCCTGATGATGAGTTTCCAACTGTCTGCACTGCTGCTGGGGGGTGGAGGTGTTTCTCTCTTTCACATTTACCAGGTGCTGAGCTCCTGTCTTCACTCATCTCCGCTTATCTGGCTCTTGGCACAGGACTGACCTCCCACCCGTGTTTCCCTGGCCAGGCCTCTGTGGGAAGGTGGCCGGATGGCACGGAGGATGAGCATCGATGAGCTGGAGGACCAGCTCCTCTGTCCTATCTGCTTGGAGGTCTTCAAGGAGCCCCTGATGCTGCAGTGTGGGCATTCGTACTGCAAGTGCTGTGTGGTGTCACTCTCTGAAGAGCTGGACGGGCAGTTCCTCTGCCCTGTGTGCCGCCAAACCGTGGACTGCAGTGCCTCGCCACCCAATGTCACGCTGGCCCGCGTCATCGAGGCACTGCAGAGCCGGGGTGAGGCAGAGCCCACCCCAGAGTCCTGCCCAATGCACCACAACCCCCTCAGCCTCTTCTGTGAGGCTGACCAAGAGGTGATTTGCGGGCTGTGCGGCACCATCGGCAACCACCGCCAGCACAAGATCACCCCCATCTCTACCGCGTACTGCCGGATGAAGGTTGGATGGCAGAGCTGGCCAGGGCTCCTGGGGTGGGGGTTAGGGCACCTGCAGCGCTTGCTGGCAAAATGCCCTCCCTCCTTGGAGGGACAGGCTGGAAATGATGCCAGTGTGAGGAGCATGGCACAGCCAGGTGTGGGAAGCGTGGCACAGCCAGGTGTGGGGCAGGGCTCCTGGGCTGGGGGGCAGCCGTTTCCCAGGCTGAGCACATCCGCGGCTGAGAGGGCTTGGGGTTTTGGTGGCTGAACCGTGGTGGAAAGAGCTGGTGGCTGGGGAGTGTTGGCGGGGCCTTTCAAGACTGTTTCCAAATACCATCAAAAAGAGTCTGGAGATAAGGGCTGAGGCAAGGAGAGCAGGGAGGCAGGGAAACGGGAGCCCCAGCCAGGCAGAGTAAATAGCTGGCGTCCCCTGCCCGGCATCACATGAAAGTCCCAGGAATGGAAAAGCACGGGGCTACCCGTCCCCTCCACTCCTGGCACCAGGGAGATAAGAGCAGGAGGCACCAGAAATGCTCCTGCCCCAGCCAGGCTCCCAGCACCAGCACTGGGAGGGTGCCGCCGGCCTGATGCTGGCTTGTGGCAGCTCACGACCCGCTTGCCACCCACTTGCCCAGTGCAGAGCCACCACTGGGTGTGAGAAATGGAGGGCTGGGATTGGGAGGGGAGACATGGTGCTCCTGGCAAGAGTACTTGGTCAGCAGCATCCAGACTGGGGCCATGGTCTGAGCGCTCTCTTGCTTCTGGCAATGCCAAATCCTCCAGATCAAGAGAGGAAAGATCAGCAGAACATGCAGGGCCCCAGAAAGCTTAGGAGAATGTGGCTTCTCAGGGCCTTGTGCTCCTCAAGGAGCTGACAAGCACCATGGGCAATCAGGGAGGCTGCTGCAGAGGTCCCTCCTATAATGGTGCTGTCTTTTCAGGAGGAGCTGTCTGTGCTGCTGACCGATGTCCACCAGTACAAGAGGAACCTGGATGAACACTTCAGCAAGCTCATCAACAACAAAAGCCGCATCGCAGTGAGTGTCATGTGCCAAGGGAGACCATGTCCCACTCTGCTCCTGGGTCTCCCCAGCTCACCTCCTCTCCTTCTCCTCCCCCTTCCCTGGGACAGCAGACAGGGCTTATCTTCCACCCTGTTCCCTGAGGTTCATGTTCTCCATGAAACTCAGGGATTAAACATAGACCTGTTTTCGGGAAGGGTGACATAGCCCTTTCTGGTGGCACAGCCCTGGTTTTGGAAGGGGTGATGTAACCCTCACCAAGCATCCTGGCGGGAGTAGCAGTCAGTGCTGGTTTGACCAAATGTCCTTGGGGGTGGGGAGGTAACAGGAGGATAGGACCCCACTCAGAGCAGGCTTTCCAGTCAGAGCAACGCCACTGGTTTCACAGTGAGTTTACGCCTGGTTTAGCTGCGTGTCCGTTTCCCACGCAGTGGATATCTCCGAGGGACCTCCTGGCATCCCTTCTGAGGCTAAAGCTTCCTAGTGGGGCTCCTCAGAAGGGCTCAATCCAAATGCAACTGGAGCTGCACTTTCAAGGTTCTGATGAAACTGGTTGGGACATCAGGAAATCAAAATCTGGGGGAGGAGAGGTGTAAGACAGGGGTGCTGTGGTGGTGAGCAGCTGAGGACAGCAGGATGAAACAACATCTAGCCTGCTGTACAGAGCTGCTCTTCCTTTGGAAAGCCAGTGGAGGGCGGTTTGGTGGGACGTTGACATGGCTGGAGGCATCTCTGAAACCAAAAAGCGGGTGAAGGGGAACAGAGCAAGGCAGCCCTGCACAGCTGCCTGCTGTCTCCTGGCAGAACGAGGCAGATGTCTTCAAGTGGGTGATCCGGAAGGAGTTCCAGGAGCTGCACAGGTACATTGACGAGGAGAAGGCCACCTTTCTGGAGAGCATCGAGGGGAAGGCAGCCCAGCTCATCACCTCCATTGAGTCCCAGGTCAAGCAGACATCAGATGCCCTGCAGAGGCTTAAGGAGATGCAGAGCTCTCTGGAGGCACTCAGCAACGAAAGCCAGCTCGATTTCATCCGGGTGAGTGCGCTAGGGAAGGCAGTGACAGTCAGCCAAGTGCTCCAGCCCTCAGCCTGCTGCTCGTAGCCCCAAGCTCTGCCCTCACCGAGCAGCTGGGACACCACAAGAAGTGAGATGTAGGTGCCCTCTGTCCAGCCAGGGCTTCCCCCGATGGGAGAGACCTGCCTTCCATGAGAGGTGATGCCCTTAGCTCTCCCAGGAGAGGACAGCCCTGGCCTCTCCAGCCCAGGGCACAGACGTGTGCAGCTGTGGCCAAGCAGAGGAGCTGCTGTTCTGTCAGGCTCCCACCACCAACTCCCTCTTTCTCTTGTGTTTTCCAGAAATACGGCTCTTTCCAGTTCAGGTGAGTGGTGGGATCCAGCAGCAAACAGCATCAATGGGGATGGCAGTGCCTCTGCACCAGGGCTAGAGGTCCCAGGCCAGTGGGCATCTCAGCGTTGCTGGGGCAGCCTGACATGGACACTGCTGTTGTGATGGATAGCCACGGCCAGAGCCATGCGCTCAGCCCCAGAAGACAGCAGTGGCTCCATCATACACGGCAGCCAGGTGAGAAGAGGTCACATACTGTCCCTGTCACCTGTGTCATGACTACCTGTGTCTTTCAAGGTCAGAGCTCCCCAGCCTGCACCCCAGTGATGGCATCTTCAGCCCCGTGTCCTTCAAGCCATGTTTCCACCAAGACGACATCAAGATGACTGTGTGGAAGCGCCTGCATCGCCGCGTCCTGCCAGGTACCGACCTGCCCTGCTGGCAGCGAGCTGGGTGCCCTGGCTCACTGGCATGTGGAACTGGCTGGCCCGCGGGGGGGGGGGCGGCCCACCCCCCTGCTCATGTGCTCCTCACCCCCAGGAGTGCTCCTGGTGCAGCAGCTGGCTGTGCCTCATGCTGGTAGCAGCCTGCTATGGCACAATGCTCCAGCTGCTTAAAGCTCAGCAGTGCCAGCTTGTCCGGCTGTGCCAGCCCCCGGGGCCACCCAGAGCCAGGCCCCTGCCTGCCAGTGTGCCTGGAGCCTGCATGCTTTCCTTCTAGCTCCAGAGACACTGAAGCTGGACCCGGTGACCGCACATCCCCTCCTGGAGCTCTTCAAGGGTGACACGGTGGTGCAGTGCGGGCTCTACCAGCGCCGGGACAGCAACCCCAAGCGTTTCAACTCCAGCAACTGCATCCTCACCTGCAAGGGCTTCTCCTGCGGCCAGCACTACTGGGAGGTGATTGTGGGTACCAGGAACCACTGGCGTGTGGGCATCATCAAGGGCACGGTCAGCCGCAAAGGGAAGCTCAGCAAGTCTCCCGAGAACGGCGTGTGGCTCATCGGCCTGAAGGAAGGGAAGGTCTACGAGGCCTTCAGCACCCCACGGGCTGCCCTGCCACTGACCACCCGGCCCCAGCGCATTGGCATCTACCTGCACTACGAGAAGGGCGAGCTGACCTTCTACAATGCCGACAACCCCGACGAGCTCAGCCCCATCTACACCTTCCAGGCGGAGTTCCAGGGCCAGCTCTACCCCATCGTGGACCTGTGCTGGCCAGAGCGAGGGCCCTACTCCCCCCCCATCATCCTGCCCACGCCTGCTGCGAGCCGGCACCCCCGGGCGCCGTACAACCATCCTGCCCCTGAGGAACCCACGAAGCTGTAGCCTGGCCAGCGACATGAGGCTGTGGCCAGGGAGGGCTGTGGCTGAGTCACAAGGGCCCACAGCAGGGGACAGACAGGCTGCGTGCAGGTTTGTCCTCCCATGGAAGCTGTGGTACTGCAGAGTGAGCATCAGCAGCACGGGAGGGTCCTTCCCTTCTCCTCCGAGAGCATAAAATGTCAGCCTTGACCTGTGAATCCCCATCCCTAATCTAGGAGGCTGACCCAAAAGCTGGCCTGCAAAAATCTCCCTATGGAAAGGAGCTCCTGCCTGAAAAGCGTGAGCTGTGAGAGTCCGGGGGTCTTTGTTGGCACCACTTTCTTCTGAATAAATAAGAGTTTGTGGTAGCTGAGCTGGTTGCTAACACCGATACTGTCTCTGAGGAACCAAACTGCAGCCAGAGCTGAGCAGGCAGCTATGGTGCTCTGTGGAGGCGCAAGGGGCTGCCGGGGACAGAAAATGGGAGCTGAAAAAGCAGCTGGAGAGAGATGTTTGCCAGGCAGCAGAGGTCAGCCCCCGGCAGGAGGACACCAGCCTGCCCAGGGCAGAGCCTCTTCCCGCTCTCAGGGAGGTGAGCTGGCGCGGGGAGCCTGCCCAGGTGGGATGCTGCACCTGCGGGCCAAGGCAGTGTGAGGGGAGCAAGGCCGGGCGCCCGGCACACAGCCCCTTGGTGAGTCATCCTTCCCGCCGACCGCAGTCATAGAATCATGGAGTGCTTTGGGTTGGAAGGGACCTTTAGGGTCACCCAGTCCAACCCCCCTGCAGGGAGCAGGGACACCTTTAACCACATCAGGTTGCTCAGAGCCCTGTCCAACCTGACCTGGAATGTGTCCAGGGATGGGGCCTCCAGCACCTCTCTGGGCAACCCATGCCAGTGTTTCACCACCCTCACTGAAGAATTTCTGCCTTATATCCAGTCTAAACCTACCCTGGTTTAGTTTAAAACCATCACCCCTTGTCCTGTCACAGCTGGCCCTACTAAAAAGTCTGTCCTCGTCTTTCCTATGGGCCCCCTTTAAGCACTGAATGGCTGCAATCAGGTCTCCCCGCAGCCTTTTCTTCTCCAGGCTGAACAGCCCCAACTCTCTCAGCCTGGCCCCGTAGGAGAGGGGCTCCAGCCCTCAGATCAGTTTTGTGGCTTCCTCTGGCCCCGTTCCAACAGGTCCCTGTCTGTCCTGTGCTGGGGACCCCCAAGCTGGATGCAGGGCTGCAGGGGCGTCTCACCAGAGCGGAGCCGAGGGGGAGCATCCCCTCCCTCGCCCCGCTGGCCACACTACGGGGGATGCAGCCCGGGCTATGGTCACCCGGGCACACGTTGTCAGCCCCTGTACAACACAGTCACCCAGGGCCTGTTCGCAGGGATTCTCACCAGAATTCACACCCAGCCCACGCCAACTGCGGAGAGCCCAGGACACAAACCATACCATTACAGGGGGAAATGTTTATTCCTGTGCGAGGTGCCCCTGCCAAACTGGGGCACCCGAACGTGGCTTCACGGGGAGTTCTTACACCCGCCCAAGCCCTGGGCTACAGCACGACGGGGCTCATCCCCAACTGGCGCTGCGCTGCTGCAGGCCGAGAAGAAGCTGCCCCCGCAGCTGGCGAAGGTGGGTGAGGGGGGCGCGGGTGGCGGGGCCCGGGACAGCAGGGCTGGGCTCACCCTCCTCCCCACAGGTGCTGGTCTATGACCTCCTCTTCGGCAAGGGCCTGAAGTGCGGGGGGCGCTGGAAGGCGCTGGCCCGGCGGCACAGGGCGCGGCTGGAGGCCGAGCTGGCCCGCCTGAAGGTGCAGCAGAAGGTGAGCCGCAACGAGGACCTCCTGGCCCCGCAGGCAGCGAGCCCTGCAGGTGAGTGGGCTTGGGGCCGGGCACTGTCCCTGCGCTGGTGGCAGCGGTGGGTTGTGTCTGACCCAACCGGTTCCCACAGCCCCCCAGGTACCGCGCTACGTCCGAGTCAACACCCTGAAGACTTGTGTGGACAATGTGATTGACTTCTTCAAGCGCCAGGGCTACTCCTATCTGGGCAAGGCAGCCAGGTGAGTGCTTCCTTTGGCCATCCCACCTCATCTGGGGCGTCAGCGAGCGGCAAGGGCTGAGGACAAGGTCGTGTGGGCTGAAGGGCTGTTGGCCTCAGTGCTCGCAGTGCCCAGGTTGGGGACCCTGTCACTCCACGCCTTTTCTGCCTCCCCGGGTGCTGCCTGCCGCTGACATGGAGAGGGGGTGCAGCATGAAGGGGATTCTCAGCCTGGGCTCCAGCATGGGCATGGTGAAGCAGGACTGCATGTTCATCCTCCCTGTGCCTCCTGGGCAGCGTGGAGGAACTGAGGGCCCTCTCCGGGAAGAAATTCTTGTTGGATCTTCATCTCCCAGAGCTGCTGGTTTTCCCTCCGCAGACGGACTTCCATGACAACCTGCTGTACACTTCAGGACACATCATTCTGCAGGACAAGGTGGGGAACTGGGGAGTAGAGGCTGCAGGGGCGGGAAACACCCTTACAGGTGGTGGGTTGGCCCCTTCCCTCATGCCGTGGGCTGGGCTTGGGCCGGCTTTGCTGCAGCACTTGAAGTCTCAGTGGAGAGCGTGACTGCAGCCTGTGGCGGTGGGGTTCCCCTGCACCAACAGGTTTGGGATGAATTGCTCTGAACCAAGCTGTGAAAATGCCCTGCAGACACCAGGCACCGGCAGCTGGGAGGAGCGCAGGGCTGCAGGCTGGGTGGAGGCTGGTGGTGGTGGTGGACTGGGCCTTGTGTTGCTGTGGCTGCCTGCGACCCCGCAGCCTTGGCTGTGCCCCACAGAGGGGCTGGGGGTGCTTGCTGCCTGCACCTCTCAGTGGGGTTTGCCCTCTTGCAGGCCAGCTGCCTCCCTGCCTTCCTCCTCGGCCCTGCTGCTGGCTCCCACATCATTGATGCCTGTGCGGCCCCTGGGAACAAGACCAGCCACCTGGCCGCCATCCTGAAGAACAAGGGGTGAGTGTGGGTTTGTGTGCAGGGGGAGGGAAGGGGCGCAGGGACCCTGTGCCCCCCAAACCCACAGAGGGCACGCAGAAAAGGGGGCAGGAGGAGCTGTGGCCCTGTCACCCTGCCCCGCTAACTCAGGCTGGTGGCTCTGACAGTGCTGGGCCGTTGGGAGGGCCTGAGGGGATGCGAAGTCACGCAGGGGTTCACTCCCCAGCCCCTGCTCCCTGCCTGACCCCCTGTGCTCCTGCCCGGGGAAGTAGCTCTCGAGCTCTGCCCACCCAGTGTTGGGGGCTGCTGGGGCAGCCTGCGGCCGTCCCTGTGGGCGGGCGGGATGTTCATGCCTCTCCTGGGTGCCGGTCTCTGCCTTCAGCCAGATCTTTGCCTTTGACGTGGACACCAAGCGCCTGGCCACCATGAACACCATGCTGATGCGGGCTGGGGTCACCAGCTTCCAGCTGGCCCAGCAGGACTTCCTGACCGTGGACCCCAGCGACCCCAAGTACAGCAAGGTGACTGGTATCCTGCTGGACCCGTCCTGCAGCGGCTCAGGTAACGCACGGGGCTCCAGCCGCCCCACCTGGAGCTGGGCTCTGGGCAGGGGAGCCCCGGGCGACAGCTTCTCCCCCCGCAGGGATGGTGAACCGGCTGCCGAGGGAGGAGGCTGCCCCGAGTGCCCAGCGGCTGCAGGCACTGGCCGGCTTCCAGCGCAAGGTCTTGAGCCATGCCCTGAGCTTCCCAGCCCTCCAGCGCCTCGTCTACTCCACCTGCTCCCTGCACCGGGAGGAGAATGAGGATGTGGTGCATGCTGTACTGCAGGAGCAGGGCTCGGACTTCAGGTGTGGGGGGGACATGGTGGGCTGCGGCATGGTGGGCTGCGGGGCTGAACCCTGACCCTTGTCCCATGCCACAGGCTGGTGCACGCCTTCCCTTCCTGGCCCTGCCGAGGACTGGCTGCCTTCCCTGGGGCAGAGGGCTGCCTCCGTGCCTCTCCCGCAGACACCCTCACCCACGGCTTCTTTGTGGCCGTCCTGGAACGGCATGGGGAAGGGGCTGCTGCCCCCAGGTGAGAGGAGGGCCCGGGGGCTCTGCCTGCCTCCAGCAGCCTCTGGGGAAGCCATGGCCAGGCTGGGGGCTACCAGGGCCCCCAGGGAGGGGAGGGCAGGAGCCCTGGTGCCTGGCTCAGGCTGTTTGCTCTTGTCTGCAGCTCCCCACCTGTGGCAGCTGAGAACCCGCAGCCTGGAGAGGGAGCAGAGCCAGGAGCAGCTCACAAGAAGAGGAAGAGGAAAAAGCAGTGGGTGAAGGAGTGAAAGAACATCTTCAAGATTGCATGGTGCCCGGCTGGGGCTGGCAGGGAATGCTCTCCTGGGGGCTCTGAACACGAGTAAAGCTTTGTGCCAGGTGTGGCCCTGGTGGCTGTGCTCCCCGGTGACCAGTGCCACCCTATTGCCAGGGAGCAGGACCAGCTCACCCTGGGTTGGCAGAAGGTTTGCTCCCAGAGTTGGGGCAGCCTTGGGAAGGCCACAAACAGCACCAGTGTCCAGCACCGTGCCCGCTTCCTGCACCCTGCAGGGCTGGAGCCCCATTACTGGTGTCATTTTACCATGTTCCCCCCACCCCCAATCCCTGCCCCAGCCTGATGTGGGGATTCAGAAAACCCTGCAACTGTAGGCATGCACCAGATTAAAGTTTCTCCCTCTTCACCATCTTTTTCCCTCCTGTTTGTGCAGCCATGCCCTGAAATTGTCACTGCTTGGAGGAGAGGCAAAGTGGGGGGAGAAAGTGCAATAGTAATAATAAATAATAGTAATAATCCTGTCCCTGCACCTGTCTTTGATGGGGGGGCGGGGGGGCAAGGACACACACGCCAGAGAGGGTTGGAAAGCAGGACCCCGGGCCACCCAGCAAGGCCTGACCCTGCTCGGGCCCGGGAAGCAAGGGGGCACCGGGCAGATGTGAATACAGGGCTTTTTATTGTAAACCAGGGACAGAAGAAGCAAGGAAGGAAAAAAAAAAAATAAAAAACTGCACATTCACACTAAAGTCCTCATCAGCCACACCAGGAATGATCCAAGGCTTCCATCGGAGTGAAAACCCAGCCTCCCCGCCACCTGCGGCAGCACAGGTGCAAGGGTCTCTCCCAGCAGGGTCTCTGCGGCAGGGAAGGGATGCAGGGTTGGGTGCAGGGGACCCCTGGGGGCAGCACCCACAGCCAGCGCTCCCCAGGGCACCCTCACCTTCTGCCCCGCTCAGCCCCATCGCCCTCCGCCTCATGGGCATTGCTGGGGCCAAACCCCAGCTCCCTCACCCCCAGAGCCACTGTTCTGCACTGGGCCACCACCACCCTTGGGGGCTCAGCACCCTGCGCTGAGCCCTTCCAGCTGCTTTCTCGACCCCCAGGACAGATTTGCCCGGGCTGGCTCCTGCACCCACCTGCCCCACTCCACCAGGGGAGCCCTGCACCCCCTGGGCCATGCTGGCAGGGAAGGCTAAAGACCTCCAAGCACTGCCTGCGTCCCCGCTGCCGCACCCAGCCCCCTCACCTGCCGGGAGAGATGCCTTGCTCCTGGTGGACAAGAAAGCCGCTCTTCACTGTAACACACACAAGCTCCTGCTCCTTATCCTCGGAGAATTCGGGGAGGGAAAAAAAAGGTTTAGTCACATCCACGTACATCACATTTTAAAACTGCAGAGCTGCTGTCGCAGGCCAGGAGGAGCGCGCAGTGGCAGAGCTGGCAGGACCCAGCCGCCTTTCCCCGGCACAGCTGGATCCTGCGGGCAGAGTGGGGCTGGGGCCGGCTCCTCACTGGGCTGCGAGGGCACTGGAGAACACACAGCGCTTGCGGGGTCTGGCAACCTCACTGAACCAAGCTTGAAGGAATTCAAAGGCAATTTAGCTTAAATATAAAAATAAATTTTTATTTTGTTAAAAAACGTTTAAATATTTGTTTGTGATTTTTTTTTTCTTTTTTTTTTTTTTTTTTTTATTTTAGCCACTGTTTAATCGACAGTGCCCACAAGTGTGATAGGCGCTTTACAGACCTGAGATGCCAGTGCTGCATCACGAACTGGATAATGGCCCAAAGGGCATCCTCGCCCGGGGCGGGTGGGGGCAGCTCTGGGAGACCCCCGGCTCCAGCAGCCTCTTCCTGCAGGAGCTCCCAGGCAGGGGAAGGGCCCTGCTCCTGGCTGGATGGGAACAGGGGAGGCAGCACCGTAGCTCCTAGGAGCTGGTAAAATCCAAAAAGATGGGGATGAGCTAAAAACAAAAAATAAATCTGGATTTGGGGAGGGGAACCCATCCACTCTGGACTCCTTCCACTAGCGGCTCCAGAGCACCCCAAGGTGGGGAAGGGGCACCAGGAGAGAGGGGAAGGGAGGGGAAGAGACTGCCAGGGCTGGAGCCCCCACCTCGGGGTCCAGGCCCCGTCCCCCCCACCCCAGCTGCCTGCCTTTCGGTCACAATGACAAAGGGACAACTCCCCCAGCACGAGTAGCCACGCAGTGATGCTACTGTCAACACCCAATTAGCCAGGGCGTGTCCCCCACAAAGGGACCAGCGCCCCCCCAGAAAAAGAAACTCCAAACAGCAAATCCGGCAATACCAACATGCCGCCACGCACACGGTTCAGTTCTTCCTCCAAACTCGATTCAATGAGCGCATCGAAAGGGGAACACGAACAAAGCAAAACAGAAGGGGCTTCAGACAAGTGGCGGGGGGTGGGGGAGGAGGAGGGAGCCGGCAGGCCAGGGGAGCAGCGAGGGCCAGGGGGCTGCTCAGTGACCGGGAGAGGGGTGGAGGGACCCCCATCCCCACCCCACATCTCCAGCTGGGGGCCCAGGCTGCAGCGCAGCCTCAGCTGGAGGCCTGGTGGGAGATTAAGTCACAGCAAGGGGGTCCTCACTCAGCTGCAGAAGCTGGGCTGGTCACCCACGGCACTGAGGCCCCCAGGCCAGGCTGGCACTAAGCCTGGCTCCCAGGCTAGGCTGGCACTAAGCCCGGCTCATGTTCTGCAGGGATGGCAAGGAAGCAGAGCCCTCCGGAGGGAGCGCATTCACCAGGCCACGGGATGAAACAATGGGGAAAGGTTTCGGGACCTGGTGAAGACGACATCCCCCAGCAGCCTGGAACCACAGCCGGCAGAACACAGCATGTCTCCAGCCGGGCTCCGAGCGGGGACATGCAGCTCTGCCGGCTGCCCTGCCGCGGGGCAGGGGGCTGACTGGTGGGGGCTGCGGAGGAGGGCATGGGAACAGCTAGAAGAAGCAAACGGGGAAAAATTTACACGTTATGAAACATGGCAAAATAAAGTGAGGGAGGAAACGCTGCAGATATGTACAGAGGTTCATCCAGCCTCAGCTGCGGAACTGTTCAAGTAAGAAGCGTTTGGTTTATCCCGCCCCACCCTGGTTGTTGCCACCCAGCACGCTCTCCGGCTGGCATCAGACAGGCCTGGCCCCATCACCACTGGTCCTGCCACGGGGACCACGCTGGACCGGAGCCTCCCATGCATGCGGTGGGGCCCAGCAGCACTGGAGGTCACTTTTTGCGGGTGTGCTGCCTCCGTGCCTGCAGCCGCTGGGGAGAGCCCGTCTTGGATCCTGCTCCGATGGAAAAAGCAGGGGTGGACGAACCTGGAAGCAGAAAGGTTGCTCAGGTCTCTGCAGCCTCACTCAGAGCTGGCACGAGGGGTAGTGTAATCCCCATCCCAGGGGGAATGGAAGGGTTTGCATCTCCCGGAGCCCAGCAGGTACCTCCCCAGCTGGCTCCCAGAGCACAGCCTGGCCCTTCCATCATCCCCAGCCCGAGGGGACAACATGATCCATCAGCTCCCCAGCGCTGAAGCACCAAGTCCTTCCTTACCGAAGGAAGCGCCGACTCCTCCGAAGCCCGAGGCAGGAGTGCTGGGCGTCCCGAAGGAAAGGCTACTGCTTCCACTCCCCACTGCTCCTGGGACAGGCGTACTTTGCCCAAAGGTGGGCGCAGGAGTTCCTGGAAGGCAACATCCCACTGTGAGGTGGGGGTGGCAAAGGAGGAAGAGCCCGGCCTTTGGGATCTGACAGCACCCACAGGAGGCACGGATCTCCCTCCAAGGGCCAAAGCACTGCAGTCCCCCAGGAACAGCCTCTTCACCCAAGAAGCCCTTTTAATGCAAGAAGTTGTGCTCTCATGTTAATCCCTGGGCTCTCCTGGCAGCAGGACAGCACGGGAGGATTTGCAGACCAGGGAGGAACAAAGACCTCTGTCTTTCTAGATCAAGCAGTTGCTCAGCATGGGGGTTTCAGCTCTGTGGGAGGCGAGAAAGCCCAGCGAGCACCCAAGCGCTAGGGAAAACCTCAGAGAGCAAGCTCAGAAGCAATTGCAATCGCTGGCTGGCAGGGTTTTTTGCTTTTGAGCACTGGCAAGACCTTGGCTTCTGTAGGGCGCCTGGCTGGGCTCAGCACTCGCATGGAGCCGGTGCATTCAGAGTGGCCAAGGAGCAGAATTTAGGGATTCCCTCCACCACCACCAAGGGCTGGGGACCCGGACAGAGAGTGACGAAGTCCTTCCCTTCACACAGTGAGCCTCCACGTAGCACAAGCACCAGCTCCTCCAGGGCTGCTGAGCTTGGGGAGCTTGGCAAGGTCCAGCAGGAAAGCTGCTGCCTAAATCTATCCCTGCCCGTCACCCCCTGAGGAGACCGGCCCACCCCGACTCACCTCCGAACACGGGCTTGTTGTTGGGTGTGCTGGGCACGGTGAAGGCGAAGGGCGTGCTCTGATTCTGTGCACCTAGTGCGCTCTGCGTCAGGGAAGAGCCGAATGGTGTTGCTGCTGGGGCTGTCCCGCTCTGCCCAGCCCCGAAGCTGAAGGCCACGGCGGGAGAGCCGCTGCTCAGGGTGGGCGTGCCGATCCCAAAGGTGCTGGCGGAGGGGCCCGGCTGGGCAGTCGCCCCAAAGGTGAAAGGAGAAGGGGTGGTGCCAAAGACGGCAGTGCCGGCGCTGCTGGTCGTGGTCTGGGTGGTGGAACCGAAGCTGGAAGTGGTGGAGGTGGCTGTCCCGAAAGAGAAGACCGACGTGGTGGTCCCGAATGCCGCCTGGGTGCTGCTGGTGCCGAAGGAGCTCTGGGCGCTGGTTGTGCCGAAGGCTGGCTGAGCACCACTGCCAAATGCCGGCTGAGCAGTGGATTGGGCTGTGGGGGCTCCAAAACTGAACGGGGGGACAAAGCTGACAGGGCCAGCTGCAGGCTTGCTGGAGGGCGGCTGGCTCTCCGCAGCACTGGCGCTGAAGGCAGGCTGACTTGCTGCACTGGGATATGGTGGCGGCGGCTTTGTGCTTGTGCTGAAGGAACTGCCAAAAGCTGAAACAGAGGAGCCAAACGTCAACGTCACTTGACCTGTGGTGGTTGGGGTAGAAGAGGTCAGCGTGGTGCCCCCAAATATGCTAAAGCCCACAGTGGTGGTAGGAGCCGTCGCGTTTGAAGGTGCTTGGCCAAAGGCAGGGCCTCCTGGGACAGTGGTGGTGGCAGTGACTGTGGCTGGAGGTGGCTTTCCAAACTGGAACACAGGCCCTGGGGTGGCAAAGCTGGTTTCTGTGCTGGGAGCTGAGCTGGCTGGGCCCCCGAACAGGAAGGGCTGCGACGTGCTGGTGGACGTGGCAGCAGTGACGGTCAGGCTGGCGGTGGGGCCAGTGGAGGTGGGTGGGTTGAGTCCAAAACTGAAGACAGGTTTAATGGTGGCATCCGTGGAGGAACTCTGCGTGGTGGCAGTCGTAGCTGCGGTGGTGAAAATGACGTTAGGGAGACCTGTGAATCCTGCCAGGGTAGTCATGGAGGCTGCTGGCAGATCTGCGGCTGAGGCTGGCTGCGATGTTGGCTTGAAGGCAAAAGGAGAGGCCTTCGCTGGAGATGAGGCTGCAGTGACGCTGCCAAAGATAGGCTTGAACATGGTGGTGGTGGAGGATGTCAAGGAAGGGCCCAAGCTCGCAGACACGGTGACTGTGGCAGAGACAGCAGCTGTACAGGGTGCTGTGCTCTCGCTTTTCGGCAAAGCACCAAAGATGGGTTTGAAGACGGGGGTTGTGGTGGGCACAGCAGTGGGCAGGGGGGGGCCAACGGGGGGC